CCATGGCGGCCGAGCTGGACAACCTGGACCCAGCCCCTCCCCCCAACAACAACAACGGCCCCTGGGACCCCCCGGACCCCCGAGCTTGGGGGGACCCCAAAATCTTCGAGTGCTCGCGGATCAAAGCCTTGGCTGGTGGGTGAAGACCCCTCCCCCCAAAAGAAAAAAACCCCAAACCTCCCCAAAAATCCCTGGATGGCCTCAAAAATCCTCAAAAAAACCCAAAAAATCCCGGATTGACCCCAAAAAATCTCAAAAAATTCCTCAAAACCCTCCCAGACCCTTCCCCAAAAAATCCTGGATTTGGGTGGATTTGGGATGGATTTGGGTGGATTTGGGGTGACCTGGATGTCCCGCAGACTGGCGGGACGCGGTGCAGAAGAAGACCTTCACCAGGTGAAGGTGAAGGCCCACCTGGAGGTTCCTGAGTTCCATGGGGATCTCAGGGTGGTTTGGAGGTGGATTTGGGGTGGATTTGGGATGGATTTGGGTGGATTTGGGATGACCTGGATGTCCCGCAGACGAGCGGGACGCGGTGCAAAAGAAGACCTTCACCAAGTGGGTGAACGCCCACCTGGCGCGCGCCGCCTGCCGCGTCGGGGACCTGTACTCGGACCTGCGCGACGGCTTCGTGCTCACGCGGCTGCTGGAGGTGCTCTCAGGGGAGACCCTGGTGAGGAGATCCGCGCGGCGGCTTCTTCATCATCATCGTCATCATCGTTGTCATCATCATCGTCATCATCATTCTCTTTGTCATCATCATCCTCTTCATCATTGTCATCATCATCATCGTCATCGTCATCATCCTGCTCATCATTGTTGTCATCTTCATCATCATCCTCGTCATCGTCATCATCTTCATCATCATCTTATCAGCGTCGTCATCATCATCATCATAATGACTGTCGCCATCACCATGAGCAGCATCATCATCTTCGTGACCATCTTCATCATCATCATCACTGCCATCTTCGTCATCGCCACCATCTTCATCACCACCACCATCATCATGACCTACCATCACCATCATCATCACCACGATTGTCACCATCACCATGAGCAGCATCATCGTCTTTGTGACCTTCATCATCATTGCCACCATCTTCATCATCATCACTGCCATCTTCAGCATCGCCACCATCTTCATCACCACCACCATCTTCATCATCATCACCACCACCTTCATCTTCACCATCACCATCTTCATCACCACCACCACCTTCATCTTCATCACCACCACCTTCATCTTCACCACCTCCACCACCACGAGCAGCAGCCCCATTCTGGATCTCCCCACCGCCCTCAGCTCCCACCATGGGAGCTGTTCCACCAGTTCCACCAGTTTGGGGCCACTTCTGGTGGGGTGGGGTGGGGTGACCCTCTCCGAGCCGGAGGTCGCCGTGTCCCCCCAGCCCAAGCCGACGCGGGGCCGGATGCGGATCCACTCCCTGGAGAACGTGGACAAGGCCCTGCAGTTCCTCAAGGAGCAGCGCGTCCACCTGGAGAACGTCGGCTCCCACGACATCGTGGACGGCAACCACCGCCTGACCCTCGGCCTCATCTGGACCATCATCCTCCGCTTCCAGGTGCCACCAGGGTCCCGTCCGTGTCCTCCCTCGTCCTCCTCACACCACCCCCGGCTGCTCCCTGACCGTTCCTCCCCCAGATCCAGGTGATCAAGATCAAGACCGAGGACAACCGGGAGACGCGCTCGGCCAAGGACGCGCTGCTGCTCTGGTGCCAGATGAAGACGGCGGGGTGAGGACCTGAGGTGACCCCCAAGGTGACCCCCGAGGTGACCCCTGGTGACCCCTGAGGTGACCCCTGGTGACCCCTGGTGACCTCCACAGCTACCCTGAGGTCAACATCCAGAACTTCACCACCAGCTGGAGGGATGGCCTGGCCTTCAACGCCCTCATCCACAGGCACCGGTCAGCGCCAGGGGGGTGGACACGGTGGGGAGGGACCTCCTGGGCGCTGAGGTCACCTCGGATGCTTTGGGGGAGGGGTGGAGGTGACCGTGTCCACCCCACCCCAGGCCGGATCTCATCGACTTCCACAAGCTGACCAAGTCCAACGCCACCTACAACCTCCAGCAGGCCTTCAACACGGCCGAGCAGCACCTGGGGCTCAGCAAGCTGCTGGACCCCGAGGGTACGGACGGGCTCTGTCCAGCTGTCCATGTGTCCATCCCTCCATGTGTCCATCTGTCCATCTCTCCATGTGTCCATCTCTCCATGTGTCCATCTGTCCATCTCTCCATGTGTCCATCTCTCCACGTGTCCATCTGTCCATCTCTCCATGTGTCCATCTCTCCATGTGTCCATCTGTCCATCTCTCCATGTGTCCTTCCCTCCATGTGTCCATGTGTCCATCTCTCCATGTGTCCATCTGTCCATCTCTCCATGTGTCCATCTCTCTACGTGTCCATCTGTCCATCTCTCCATATGTCCATCTCTCCATGTGTCCGTGTGTCCATCTGTCCACGTGTCCATCTCTCTATGTGTCCATCTGTCCATCTCTCCAGCCATGGAAGGTTGGGGGGCGTCTCCCCCGTCCATTTTTCCACCTCCACGCCCTTTTTCCCTTTTTTGGGAGCGCAGGTCGAGGTTGAGGGATCAGCCCTGGCTTGGTGGGACCATCCCTGGTGGTCCTGGGGTGGGGCTTTGAGGGAAGTCCTGACCTTCTGCCCCTCCCCCCCACCAGATGTCAACATGGAGGACCCCGACGAGAAGTCCATCATCACCTACGTGGTGTCCTTCTACCACTACTTCTCCAAGATGAAGGCGCTGGCGGTGGAGGGGAAGCGCATCGGGAAGGTGGGGCTGGACCCAGTCCTGGGGTCTCCATCCCCAGCTCCGTGAGGCGTCCACCCTTGGTCCACCCCCCTGACCATGGATGTCCCATCTCTTGGTCCATCCCTTGTCCACCCCTCGCTCCGCCCCCATCCAAGGACATCCCACCACTCCCCACCCACCAACCACACCATGACCACCCATCCCCGCGGCCTGGCCGGACCCTGGTGACCCCTCCAGCCCCATGTGGCTCTTGGAGGGTTCCTGCAGGATCTCCAAGCCCACCCCAAACCCCACCAGGTGCTGGACCAGGTGATGGAGATCGCGGCCATCACGGCGCGCTACGAGGCCCTGGCGGCCGAGCTGCTGGCCTGGATCCACCACACCATCACCATCATCACCAACCAGAAGTTCGCCAACTCCCTGACCGGTGTCCAGCAGCAGCTCCAGGCCTTCACCGCCTTCTGCACCCTGGAGAAACCCGTCAAGTGAGGAGCTCCTGGGTGGGCTGCTGGTGGGGTGGGACCTCATCCTGCTCCTGCTGGGGATGGGGAGGTCCCACCTCATGGTGATGGTGATGAGGAGGTCCCAGTTCTGGGGGCAGTGGGACCTGGGGGTGGCGGTGATGGTCATGGTGGTGTTGAGGTCCCAGTTCAGCCCAAACTGGTGGCAGTGGGACCTGGGACATGGTGGTGACGTCCCAGCTCACGGTGGTGGTGACAGGGACCTCCCCACTGGTGCCACCCCCCAGGTTCCAGGAGAAGGGGAACCTCGAGGTGCTGCTCTTCACCATCCAGAGCAAACTCCGGGCCACCAACCGCAAGCTCTATGTGCCCAGCGAGGGCAAGAGTATCTCCGACATCAACAAGGTGAGGATGTGGGGATGGAGTCCCACCACCCTGGGAGGACACCCCGGTGGGGATGGGGACCCCCGTGACCAGCCTGTGTCCCCGCCCACCAGGCCTGGACCTGCCTGGAGAAGGCAGAGCACGAGCGGGAGGTGGCGTTGAGGAACGAGCTGATCCGGCAGGAGAAGCTGGAGCTGCTGGCCCAGCGCTTCGACCACAAGGCCATCATGAGGGAGACGTGGCTCAACGAGAACCAGCGCCTGGTCTCACAGGTGGGGTG